ATGGAAGACGCTGAAGCGTTGACACACGAGATTGCGCTTGGTGCCCAACATGTTGACGCGAAGCCACATGACATGCGGCCAGAAACATGCAGTAATGCAACACGCTGGCTACCAGCATCACGGCAAATTGTAAAGAGGAGCCTGAAACGTGCATATGCAAGATCTCTACAACATGGGATCTCATGGTATCGTGGCAGGAGTTACACTCCTCAAGACTTCCCCAGAGCACTGCGTGACTCCTATCAACCGTCAACACAGCAGCCTCCTGCACAGTCCAAACCTCTCATTTCATGCAACAAGCTCCACACGGACAAGAAACGCTTCCGTGTGCTGAACTGGAATGCGGGAGGGCTAGGAGCTTTTCGAGTAGACGAGTTGAAATTTTGGATGTTGAATCAATGCATAGAAGTGGCTTTCATAACCGAGACCAGATGGTGCTTTGAAAACACGTGGATGGATGAACACTTTCATTTCATCCACACAGGTGATCCCTCACACAAAGGCATGGGTATTCTTTGCATTTTGGCCAAGCACTTTTGCCCGGCCAACTGTTTGCGATGGAGACCAGTGGTGCCTGGTAGGATCCTGCATGTGCAAGTGCAACATGCTTCCAGATGTGTCGACCTTGTGGGGTGTTACCAACACACCTCCACTGCCACCCGACAATGCCAATACCACAGAGAGCAGCTCTGGGCCCAACTGGACTTGTTCTTGCATGGCCTTGTCCAACGCAACATTTTGGTCTTGGCCGGGGATTTCAACTGCGACCTTTTGCAATCTACTTCACACAGTGGACCAGATAAGTTCTACTGGAACAGAACCCTCACCCGAGGGGCAACACATGCTGATAATGGAAGATTCACCACAATGCTGAGAGACCATGGGCTCACGGCCTTGAACAGCTGGCATCCACAGCTGGGGCCGACATTTGTTCATGCTGACACCTGTTCCAGGATAGATTTTATCATCACGCGCAAACATGTTGCAGATGGTGCCGCCAAGCAGGTGACATATGCCTGGGATGCTCCATTCCAAGGGTCCACCGGCCACGCACCCATGGTAGCCAATCTTAGGAAGCAATGGTTCCAGACCAAACGGGCACAGAATGCCTGGGGAGTGACACCACAGCAGAGAAAGCAATGCCAGTTTGCCTATCAGACCAATGCACCGGAATGGCAAGAGTTTGCACACCAAGCAGCAACGCGCTTGAGGGCCAACCTGCCTGAGGTCCTGACCTTAGATGATGCGCTCATACCTCAATTGCACCACATGGCCAACCAAAGTTTACATGAGTTTTTTCCACATGCACGACCAAGCCCAAAACCTCATGACTCAACTTTCTCCAACATAGTCCTTAACAAATGGCAACACAGACGGGCACTGATGAGACTGACGACACAAACGCTGCCAAACATGTTTCATGCGTGGATGCACTTGGCCAGCTTTGCCAAGTTGAACCGCCGATCCAAGCAGCATGCCAAGACAGTCAGAAAGCACCGTTTTGATGAGGTCATCCAAAGCGCCAGTCATGCTGCACAGAGGCATGACAGCAAAACACTGTTTGCCATCATCAACAAGTTTTCCCCCAAAACCTCCATGAGAAAGATGCAGCTACGTAACCCACAGGGACACATTGCCTCACCGATTGAAGAGGCTGCACTGCTGAAGAAACATGTCATGGACACATGGAGAGGACCTTGCACCTTTCCCACTGCTGCACATCGCTTCTCAGGCATGCCCTTCACGGTGGAGGACCTGGAGAAGGAACTGAGCCAAATACCGGTGTCCAAGGCAGTGGCACGTCCATGCGCTCCTGCCCCAGTGTGGCGCATGCTTGCTGGCACACTTGCACCACCATTGCATGCACTTCTCACATACTGGTGGGATCGCCCTGAGCCGTTCATACCTAGTTGGTTTCGAGATGCATGGATGTTGCTCATTCCAAAACCGCACAAGCCTCCCACGACACCGGGGGCATTGCGCCCCCTGGCGCTGCAGGAACCCATCAGTAAGTGTATTGTAGGTCTGCTCACCAAAGGTGCCATGCGTGAGGCGTTTCCGGTTTTCTGCCAAATGCCCCTATGGGCCTATCTCCCAGGGAGATCGACTCAAGAGGCCTTACTCAGAGTCTCCAGACATTGCCACTTAGCCAGGACATTGACTGCCAGCTCCAAATCCAATCCTTTTACGAGACAACAGGGAATTGCCAGATGCCGATTAGTGGGGGGCCTACAATTGTTTCTAGACATTGAAAAGGCTTTCGATGGAGTGTGCCGTGAAAAACTTTTCAGCAGACTTGGTGAGGTTGGCATTAACCCCCAAATTGTGTTGTTGCTATCTCACTGGCACCAAAACACTCACTATCACATCAACTGCAATGGTGAAGATACCCCAGTTTCAGTAGGGTGTGGAGTAAGACAAGGATGTCGTGCGGCACCCTTGCTCTGGACTGGCTACATGTGGCTTTTCCTGTTGGAGCTCCTGAAAGAAACCAGTCCAAACTGGGTGATTTCCTGCTTGAATGTTTACGCAGACGATTATCAGATGGGTGATGTTTTCCATTCCCAAGATGACCTGCAACAACTCATGCACAACATCACAAAGACGCTGCAACTGCTCAAACGCTTTGGACTGCTCATCAATCCAAACAAGTGTACAGCACTGCTCACCTTGAGCGGCACCTGCTCACGCCGCACCAGAGCCCAATTGACAGCCTGGCGAGAGGGAAAGGAATGGCTGCGGTTTACAGCAGATGACAATGACACAGTGTGGATTCCCGTTGCCAGCAAGGCCACATATCTGGGAGCTGGGATGTCATATGCCAAATTTGAAGACCAGACAGTGAAACACCGAGTCCAGTTGTCCCGCATTGCCTTCACACGACTGCGCAAGTGGCTCACAGGGAAACGTGGTTTACGCAAGCAACAGAGACTCAGCCTGTTCACCACCTGTGTTTATCCAATCATGACGTACGGCATTTTCCCCATTGGCTTGACCACATTTGGATTGAGGCACATACAACTGCATATGTTCAGCATGTTGAGACAGATCCTATGCAACCATGCGTACATCACAGGACAGAGCCATCAACAGGCCCTTGCCTTGAATCACGTAGACCCACCGCTTGCCTGGTTGCTGAACTCCGTTGACAGCCTGCAGAGGTCCCTGAACCAACGCCTTGCCAACACAAACCCCAATGACATCATTTGTTTGTTGGATTGGAGCCACCTGGACACACTCAGACACCAAATTGACTGGCACCTGCAAACAGGACCTGAGCAGCCTGTCCTACCGAGTGCTTTGGACGTGCCCAATGCAGTTCACACATGTTTGCAATGTCACTATGCCACCACTGATCCAGCGCAATTCCGCAGACACTGCACCATCATGCATGCACAACCCATGGCACGCAGTCAATCGGCTGACCCGAAACAGTACATGCACCATGGTTTACCACAGTGCAAATTCTGCCAAAAGACATTCACCAGTTGGAGAACTTTTCACATGCACATCCAACGCGGCTGCCAGGTACTCATTGTGGGTCCTCCAACGTGCTGGCTTGATCCAACGCTTCCACTTGAAGCAGATCCTGCAAGGCCACCTGAGATGTTTGCGGCCAAGCAAGATGCTCCTGTGAGAGGCACCACTTTGTTGACAGATTCCGACCTGCGCAACATCCTGAATCAGGAGTGGGGACGTCGCATCCTTACCATAGTGGGCAACCGCTCGTGGCATCACATGCGCAAGGAGACGGCAGCCAGCACGTACCTTGCAAATAGATGTTGTCTTTGCGACCAATTTCTAGGCAGAACCCAAGACTTGAACCGCCATTACAAGTTGCACCATCCAGAGTTTTGGCCACATATTCAAGCAAAGGGGATTCAGCTGACAACCCTCTATGGGGAGGAGACGCCATGCGCATTTTGCGGGGCGCTCTTCAAGAACTGCCACCAATGCCCAGTCTGGGTTCAGATGGCCATGATGTTGATCTACGGAGGCGGGTTCCAAATAGATGGCTCACAGACACCACTGGCACAAAGGTGTGAAATCTGCATGGAGCACTTTCAGACCAGTGAAGCACTGCATGCGCATCTTGTCACTGAGCACCGGCTGCCAAGCAACAGCTTTAATGCTGCCAGAGACACACTGGATGGTGAACCGGTGTGCGCACACTGCCTCACCATGTATGACAATGTCGAATCTCTGCGCTCACACATAAGCCAGGGCAGATGCCTCAGCTTCAACCCAGAACTGCCAACGGAAGTACTGGAAGTGAGACAACAATGGATTGACGCTCTCTGTCATGGCAAACTTGCAGACACACTCAGGGACCCACATGTGAGAATGCAGCTGTCTCTTCAATGCCAGCACTGCCGATGCCGGTACAGCCGAGCATCAGACCTCTCAGGTCACCTCCAGGCCTCGCATGACAAGTTATGGTCGATGGCTCAAGGACTCACGGGAATTTTAGTGGAACTCCTGTACAATGAGACAGGTTGCTTATGCAACCCCAACATTGGGAACTTCAGACCTCATCACGTGTGTGTACCATTGCGCCAGTTAGCACTTCTGTTCATGCGCCTGCCGGACCCACTGCTGTATCCACATATTCCAACGGAAGATGAGCTTGCACAGATGTTTTCAAGAAAGCTTGACAGGGAACATCGCTTCCTCCTTGAAAGGGCGCTCACTGGGGGCAACGTTGATGCACTCTGGAAAGATCCACCCCTTGTGGACATTCTGAGGCAAAACTGTGTCCTCTGCGCTGCCAAGCTTCACCCTGCTGACCTAGTGATTCACATGCACGAGGTGCACCACTGCAGTCAGCCGCTTGTGCGTTTGTTGATGCAACAACTCATGACGAGATACATGCACTTACAGGCCACAGACTTTCAGTGCTATGCATGTGAGCAGGTGTTCAATCACCCTGAGGATGTTGTCACGCAAAGTGCACCTGACCGCACACAGACGGTTCAAGCTCACTTTCGAGCCCAGTGCCCCAATCTGTTGCAAACAGCTGTCATCCTCAGCAAGGCTGCACATGGCAGACATGGCCGACGAGGACATGAACGAGTCCATGGAAATGAGTGCACAGATTTGGACAGCGTTCCAACACATGGCACCCTACCTGGACAAGACTCTCAAGTTGGAACAGAATGCGGCACCGCCCAAAAGGCCAAGAAAAGGCGAACTGGCCCAACAGACACACCCAAAGACCATGGCCAACAACGTAAATCTGGCCCTCGCAATGTCACAGCTGGCAAAACTGGCGCTCAAGCTGGACAGGGACATGCAGCTGATGCAGAAGGAGGACACCTACATCTTCTTTTTCGGCAACAAAGGGCAAGACAGCTGCATCAACCTGCTCATGCAGACGACAGAGACCTGGGCCCAGGAACATCAGCTGCAACGACAGGGCCAGCAGAAGACGCCGCTGCTCCCCCTGCGCCTGAAGCTGATGCAGGTGGTCTTCAACACTCTGTTGACCAAGCTGGACCAGCTGGCCACGGCCAAGGAGGGCTCGGACCTGAAGACACGGGCCTTGCAGACATTGGTCTTGCTGCCAGATGGAACATGCCCGTACCTGGAATGGGATGCGCAGGCCAGACAACTGAAGGTGAGTCAACGCAAACCCCTCACGCTGAAACACCTGCACCAGATCTGCACAGACATGCTGGAAGCACTGAGCGACGTCCATCTGGTGATGAGGTTCCACTCCCTGCCAATGACCAACAACAAAGAAGTGACGCCATGGAGGTTGCAGCTGAGCATGCGAGCAGACCAGCCCTGGCAACTGATGCAACTGCTTTGCCACTCAGCCATCTGGCTGACCATGGGGGGCTCACTGAAGATGCACAGCCTTCAACAGAGCCCCTTGGCGCACCAACTGCAGAAGACGCTGGGATTGACCCAGCCAACAACGAAAGGACAGGGGAAGGGGAAGACGAAATCCAAAGGCCAGACTGCGAAGAAGGAGGAACCATGACTCCGATGCCTGACCTGACCAATCATGACATGAGACACCTTCTCACGCATGTGGCGTTTCTCACCCTGGAAAATCCAGGCAATATTTGTTTTGCAAATGCTGCAGTCACTTCATTCATGTGGACGACACTGTCCTTGGACCCATGTGACTTCAGCCATTGGGGTAAGCAACGACACCAGCTGACGTCTTTCCTTCTTGCCAATTATGCCACTCATGCCAATCTCATGGAACAAGACTGGTTTCAGGACACCTTGCGTTGCTGGGGACAACAGGATCCTGCCGTTGATTCTGATGATATCACGCAGCAGGATGCAACTGAGTTTCTTCATGTGTGGCTCACACAAATGACCACACCAGCTTTTGACATGCGTTGGGAGCGCCGATACATGGAAAATGATCGCGTCTGCACAGTTGACAGTGGCAGCAAGTACATGCCACTTTGGCTGCACATGGATGCCACCACATCAACTGCCAATAGCTGTGATCTCACCCAACTGTTCAGCCTCTGGCGCCAGGTGGATGGAATGCAAGCCGCTCTGCTCACGGCACCTGTTTGCCTCTGTCTTCACATAGACAGATTGACCCGAGACAGCACAGGCAGGATTCACAAGAGCGATTGCATGATCAACGTTGACACACCATGCATAGTACCAGTTTTTCAAGGAGCTGGACTGACACATGAACCAGTGGAATATCAGCCCGTGGCGCTGATGGCACACCTTGGCCAAGACCAAGGTGGCCACTACAGAGCTGGACTGAAGCTGGCTCCAACGTTGGTGGACATGACCACACCTGCGGAATGGTTGCTCACAGATGACTGGGTACATCCGACGCCGACCTGGCGTATTCCAGCATGGATGTTGCGCAACACCACAGTGATATGGATGGTCCGAACAGACTGCATTCGGCCGCACCGATACAACCTGCGACAACCACTGCAGGATATCACAGCTGACTACATGCCTGCCTAGCCTCATGCACAGCAAACATGCCAACAAAGCGGAAGAACCACCAACTGGCAATGCAAGCCAGACCTTTTTGAACTTTCTCCAACTGATGCAATGAAGCTCAGACATATCAACCTTTTTCCAGGAAATGCCGTGGAAGCTGTAGCCAAAGGATTCCAAAAAAGGAACCATAGCCACTGAGCTATGCTGGCTGGCACGAACCTTTTGCAGACACAAAAAGGAGTGTTGGAAAAAACAAACACACACACACACACCACACACACACACACACACACACACACACACACACACACACACACACACACACACACACACACCACCCACACACACACCACACACACACCCACACACACACACACACACACACACACACACACCCACACACACACACACACACCCACACACACACACACACACACACACACACAAGCCTCTCTGCACCCACGAGCGGTGCGCTCAAGGGTCGTGGACACCTGATAGCAGTCCCCACGCCCGTTTCTGTGCTGCTGGCACGTGGTGGTGGCCTCCTTTGCTGTTGCGCAGCTTGGCGGCCCTGGCCTGGGCGCGTGTGGGCAGCTGTCGTGCTGCTGAACTTCGAATCCTCCTGCCGCTGGGGTACTTCATCCGGGAGTCCTTTGGCATTGTCGGGGGTGGTCTCCCTGTAACATCACGACTTCACTGGACCATAATCTTGTTTTGGGGTGGGCTCCCCTGTTTACACTCACTGGCCCAATTTTGGTGACTTTCATTAATTTTGCTGGTGCAATTCTGTTTTGGTTTCTGGCGTATTTTTGCCTGCTGGCCAACGAGCCCTTGCAATCTTACAACAGTGCCTATCAGACAATTTGCGAGAGTGTACAACAGTTTTGGCGACGACCGACCTCCTGGTATAGATCATTTGGATTTCGGACATCGAGATTGCAGCAACCACACAGGTGTACCTTCGACCTTGCACAAGCAATTGGTGCAGCACGGTCCCAAGTCCGTGGGCAACGGCTCCTACTGGTGACATTTAGCATTTTTGTTTTGATTTTCTTATTGATTCAATCAACAACACCTGCCGTTGTCAGAGGTGAGGGTTTCATCATTTCCATGGATGGTGAAGGAGCTATCTTGGAGCTGGCCTCCCTGGTAGCGAAAGAACATGGAGAGGGGCCCAAGACGGTCTTAGGACCATCCAGCTATGCTAAACCAACTGTTAAGAGAAGCTATCGAAGGGCTGTTCGGAGGGCCATGCAATGCGGCTACACATGGTACAAAGGCTGCTTGTTCACCACATCCTCCAGATCGGCCTCAGTTTGCCCTCCTTCTGAATCCCATGTCACTGCAAGCACTCCGACGGTGCAACCTTCTAAGAGGCATCAACGGCAGAGAATGCTATGCCTCACATGGAACAGTGGTGGCTTGGCCCAGGCAACCTGGGATATGTTTCAGCAATGGGCAGACAAACAGGAAGTGGATTTCATCACCATACAAGAAACACATTGGCAATTTACTTCAGAATGGACACAATCAAACTATCATTGCATCCATAGCGGTTACTCCAATCGTCAGGCTGGTATCCTCTGCATGGTTTCGAAACGACTATGCCAGGCGCACCACCTTTCTTGGACTGAGGTTGATCCAGGGCGGTTATTGCATCTCAGGGTGCATGGAGAATCCAGAAGCATTGATTTTTTGACGGTCTATCAACATGTTTTTTCCAATGACAGATTAGAACAGAGACAGACCTTTCTTGACCAACTGAACAATGTTCTGAGTCGAATTCCACAAAGGAATATGCTGGTTCTTTTGGGCGATTTCAACACATCATTGTTGACGAAATCGAAGGTGGTTGGATCTGGACAATTTGTGCACAATGGACGAAGACAATCAGGCACACAGCACACTGACTCCAGTGAACTGCATGATCTTTTGCGTCAGCACTCATTACTTGCACTGAACACCTGGATGGTTGACAATACGGCCACGTTTGTGAACGGCGCTGTAGCCTCCAGGTTGGACTACATCTGTTGCAGACAAGTTCATGCTGACCAAACTGCCAAAGAGGTTCATGCACTACCTGACTTTTTCATGCGCAGTGCCACTGGAGCTCAACATGTACCACTGCTGGTATCCCTGATCAGGAGATGGACACCCCCAGCCCAACAAGTTTATGCAAATGCATGGACCTATCGACAAAGGCTGGAACTGTATCAACGCTGGCAACAACCAGATCAGTACATGTTAGATCTTCAACATGACATACATGCACAGGTGTCCGGTATCCCACCCACAGCTGCTCCTATGGTGGCGCTTCACTCAGCCATGAATCGGATTGATGCCAAGAGCTTCAACAGTAGCCGAGCTCAACCTATTCATCAATTTGATCTCACCCCATTTCAGGCGTTTCAACATCATGAACGTGAATTGCGTGAACTTCCTATCAACACATGTGATATTTCTTCACTGTTGCAGGCTTGGTTTCACATTACCAAACGCCAACAAGCTCGAACACAGATGAATAGAACAGCAAAGCGTGCACGTAAAGCCAGACTTCAGAGAGTTTTTGATCAGGCTGATGAAGCTGAACGTGCCAAAGACCATTTCAGACTGTACCAAGCTGTACGATCCTTGGCACCCAAACAGAAGTTGCAACGTATTCAGCTTCGACATGATGATGGCACCCTGGCCAACCCAACTCAGGCCGCCGACATGTTGCAAAAGTGGTATGAAACATTGTACAACGCACCTGCCTCAGCGTATGATCCTACTCCTTTCACATGGCCATTCACTGCTGATGAACTATTGCAGGGCTTTTTGAAGTTGCCCATGATGAAATCACTGGCACCAACATATGCACCAGCACCAGTATGGCACATGGGCGCTTGGGCTGTTGTACAATATCTTCACCCAATTTTACTTCAGTGGAGCGCCTCCGGCAGGCTACCCAAAGAGTGGAGCGACGGCTTCTTGACGTTCCTCCCCAAACCGGGTGGCACAGGTGGGGACCCCGCCTCTTTGAGACCGATTTCACTGTTGGAACCTTCTGGCAAAGTGATTCTTGGATTGGCCGCCCAACACCTGTTGAAGGAGACGTGGTGGCTTCTGCAAATGGCACCACAATTCGCCTACCTCCCCAGGCGTGGCTGTAATGACGCAATAGGGCGTCTGATGGCACATCTCCGACAGGTCAGGAACAGGTTAGGGCAACTGCAGTATCCTGTGCACAGATCTGCATCAGGAGAACCACAGCCTGAGCTCTATGGAGGGCTTACTCTTTCACTGGACCTTTCGAAGGCATTTGACCAAGTGGATCGTGCCCTGCTCTTCCAGGGACTGATGGACATGCAAGTGTCATCTGATTTGATAGCACTCCTGCGTAGTATCTATCATAGCACTGGTTTTGAATTTGTGCACAAAGGGGAATTTCGACGGTTTTCGACATTCAAGGGCATACGTCAAGGCTGCAAATGTGCTCCAATACTTTGGACGTTGTATTTCATTCAGATTTTCAATGCATTGCATGATCATTGTCCTTGGGATTGGCTGCAACGATGCATCACAGCTTTTGCTGACGATATCTGTCAGCATGACGAATTTTTCTCACCAGAGGATTTTGCTGTTTTACTGCGTAGAGTGGGGCATTTGATGGACTGTTTGGAGAATGCTGGACTTCCCATTCACTTGAGCAAGACAGTGGCGCTTTGCCGCATGACAGGAAAACGCATGCAGCTCATTCAGAAGCGTTTTTTCCACAAAACTGCACAAGGGATGTTTTTACGTATTCCACGGACCAATGGAAACTTCACTCTTGTCAAACTGGTGAACAATCATTCCTACCTTGGTGTGAAACTTTCCTATTTTGATTTTGAGACTCTCACAATGGCACATCGGCTGAAGTCAGGTACAAGAACCCAACAACTCTTGCACAAGTGGTTACATTTGAAGTGTGGACTGAAACCGCAACAACGTGTTAAGATTTGGCAACAATGTGTCCTGTCCAGTTGTCTTCATGGGTTAATTCACACGGGCTTTACTGTTAAAACTTTGTTGAGCTTTCACAGAGCATGTCTATTGCACTTGAGACGCATCTTCAAAGAACCAGTTCATCTTACAGTGGAGTCTAACGTGGATTTCTTGACCTCGCATGGCATTTTGCCTCCCCTGGTGCGTCTGCGTGATCTTTGCAACAGCACTGAAAGGCGTGAACATCTCAGAGCTTCTCAACTTCAATGTGATGACATTTTGCACATTCAACCACCAGTGCCATTTGACCAACTACGACAGGAAATTGACCTTGCTCTACATCAGATCTACGGCGCTGACCTCTGTGACAGACCCTCAGATCTGCTGAGACCAGTGCAATGCAATCTATGCCACTCCTGGTACAGCACCATTGCGGCCTTGAGGAGACATTGGATGCTTCACCATGATGTTCGACCAGGCCAGGTTCAGCAGGTCACCAGCCATGACAGCTGGCAGGGCCTTCCAACATGTTCAACCTGCCACAAGAAATTCACAACATGGGCAAACTTCAGAAAACATATACAGTTTGCGTGCTGTGGACCTTCTCAGGCCGATCAGGCAGCTGACTTGGAGCACAGACTCAACGTTGTGGAGTTTCTGCACTACTCCAATGGGGCGCACTTTCAGGCATTGATTGAACGTCCTGATCTTCTCAGATACATGAAGTCACATTGCATTATATGTGGCAAACATGTGATGTCCAGCAGAGGCATGTTCATCCATTGGTCCACAGATCATCCTGCGGAATTTCAACAACATGGCAAAGCTCTGGAAACGGTCCTCAGAGATCTGAAACCTACTTCACCATGCTCCTTATGTGGATGTCAATTTACCAGAAGTCATCGATGTGTCATTCATAGCCAGATTGCTATGCACTCGGCACACACCATGCCACCACCTTCAACTGCTGACAGCACTGGGAATGCCCTACATGTTTGCAATTTGTGTCAGAAGGCGTATGTGACCAAGCATGGACTCCGACAACACATTCAGCG